GAGTTATTTCCCTGGGGAATGTTTGGGACAGATGATAATGCTTCTTCATGTAGGACAAAAGATGTTCTGGAGATGCAGAAGCCCCTCAATTCGGGGCCAGGTAACCATCCACTCCTGCGTGAATGCCCCACAAGGCTGGAGTTCCCTGCCTACCCTCAATCCTGAAGCTAGTGGCTGTGAAATTGAGCTGTACTTACATAAGGTAGTACAAGGAAGGGAGGTTACATTGACCACCCTCCCAGATGGGGTCCATGATCTGGAAAATATTTGGCCTCTAGGAAGAGACTTAGAAATACCTATCACTACAAGTCCTTATTTGACTGAAAAGATGGAAAAATCTGGTCAGGAGGGTCCTCTTGCCAAGTGAATAGAAAGAACCTGTGAGTTCTACACTCCCATTTTGTCTTCTGCATTGAAACATATCGTCAGATGTAATACTTTATGGATAACTTCTCTTTCTATTTCTGAATCTCTTCCTTTAGATCCCGCCCATTATAAATAGGATATTCTAATTGTAGAACATAGGAGCTCTGGTGGAACAGTGGTTAAGGCACTTGACTACTAACCAAAAAGTTGGCAGTTCAAACCCACTAGGTGCTCCACGGGAAAAAATGAAGCAATCTGCTTCTATAAACCACATGGGGCAGTTTTACGTTGTTGTTGTTGTTGTTAGGTGCTGTTGAGTTGGCTCTCACTCATCTCAACACTAAGTACAATAGAATGAAACATTGCCCAGTTGTGTGTCATCCTCACAATGCTTACTATACCAGATCCCATCACTGCAGCCCCTGTGTCAATCCATCTTGTTGAAGGTCTTCCTCTTTTTCACTGACCATCCACTTTACCAAGCATGATATCCTTCTCCAGGGAACAGTCCCTTCTGACCACATGAACAAAATATGTGAGATAAAGTCTGGCCATTCTGGCTTCCAAGGAACATTCCAGCCACACTTCTTCCAGGATAGATTTGTTCGTTCTTCTGGTAGTCCATGGTACTTTCAGTATTCTGTGCCAACATCGCAACTCAAAAGCATCAACTGTTCTCTGGTCTTCCTTATTCATTGTCCAGCTTTCAATGCATATGAGGCAACTGAAAATGCCATGGCTTGGGTTAGGCACACCTTACTCTTCAAAGAGACATCTTTGCCCTTCAGCATTTTTGCAGTAGATTTTCCCAGTGCAATACATCATCTGATTTCTTGACTGCTGCTTCCATTGGTGTTGACTGTGGACCCAAGTAATATGACATCCTTGACAACTTCAATCTTTTCTCCATTTATCATGATGTTGCTTATTGGTCCAGTGGTGAGGAGTTTTGTTTTCTTTATGTTGAGGTATAATCCATACTGCAGACTGTAGCCTTTAATCTTCATCACTAAGTGCTGCAAGTCATCTTCACTTTCAGCAAGCAAAGTTGTGTTGTCTGCATATCGCTGGTTGTTAGTAAGTCTTCCTCTAATCTTGATGCCAAGCTCTTCTTCATATAGTCAAGCTTCTTGGATTATTTACTCAGCATACAGATTGAATAAGTATGGTGAAAAGATACAACCCTGATGCACACCCTTCCTGATTTTAAATCATGCAGTATCCCTTTGTTCTGTTCAAATGACAGCCTCTTGGTCTATTACAGATTCCTCATGAGCACAATTAAGTGTTCTGGAATTCCCATTCTTCTCAATGTTACCCAGAATTTGTTATGAGCCACACAATTGAATGATTTTCCATAGTCACAAGCACAAGCAAACACAAGCAAACATATTTCTGGTATTCTTTGCTTTCAGCCAAGATCCATCCGACATTAGCAATGTTGTCTTAAAGTCTTATAGGGTTACTGTAAGTTGGAATTGACTTGATGGCCAAGGGTTTAATTATAGAAAAATACAGACAAGTAGTGAAAAATCACCATAACCCACTACCAAATAAAACTATTATGTTTTGTTCTATATTTATAAAATTTCTTTTTGAACTTATCTAAAAAGTTCACATTAATGCACATTATTGTGGAATTTTTCTATGGACTCTTTAATCAAAATGTTCGGTAATGGTACCCAGGCACCATCCAGTTCTTCTCGTCTCATGGCAAAGGAGGCAGTTGTTCATGGAGGCAGTTAACCACATATTCCATATCCTCCTCCTATTTCTGATGCTCCTTCTTCCTCTTTGTTGCACCAAGTGAATACAGACCAAGCGTGCTTTGGATGGCTCCTTGCAAACTTATAAGGCTCCAAGCACTACACAGTGCCTATGGGGCAGTTTTACTCTGCACACAGAACTTTGGAAATAATATAATTAACTAATACTACTTGAGAAGATCCTAGAAAAATATTACCAGATGATTAGCAAACTCCTAAACGAGTGTACAAATGTAAGATATTACTGGGTAGCCATGAGCATTATGTTATGGTAGGATATCAGGCCAAATGATTCAAGTATAGCAGATAGTGACAAGTTCTCCAGATAAAGAAGAAGTGATAGACATAATCTACAGAGTTCAGCTAAGCTTTTTATTTTGTGTCACGTGATAGACTATTCTTCAGCAAACTAAAATATTACCATTAGGAGAGAATGAGATAGTCTGGGGGGAACACCTAGGGGGGACTGTCAGTGGCTCTACATTCTCTTAGGTGGACATTTTAAGTGTCCTCCCACTGGAGTTTATACTTGGATTGATTTCAGTGTCTGCACCAATAACTCGATAAAGTGTTTTTAACAGTGGCTGACAAATAATAGAGATTATTATGAAATAGAAATTCTGCCCATTAATTTAAAGAAGCCAGTCTTCTAAATCCCAGTGAGATGCTCTTTCTACTATACTACAAAGGGTATAGGAGCTCTGGTGGCATAGTGCCTAAAGCATTTGACTGCTAACTAGAAGGCTGGAAGTTCAAACCCACCAGGCACTCCTTGGAAGGAAGACTGAGCAATCTACTTCTATAGTGATACTGCCTCAGAAACCCAAGAAGGGGTCACTATGACTTGGATCTGACTCGACGGCAGTGAGTTTTTCTTTCTTTTTTTTTATAGAGGATTAGACTGGTCACCAGAGACTCTGGGAATAGCTGAAAGGGGCTGCACAGCGGAAGCACATAATACTCATAATACCAAAACCCACTGCCATCAAGTCAGTTTTGACTGATGACTCTATAGAGCAGAACTGCCCCATAGAGTTTCCAAGCCTGTAAATCTTTACAGAAGTAGCTGTCTCATCTTTCTCCCATAGAGTGGCTGGTGGGTTCAAATTTCCAACCTTTTGGTTAGCAGCTAAGCACTTTAACTACTGTACCACCAGGCTCCTTAAATACTGGCAGAATAACCAAAGGGACTGCATGAGAGGGTTGTGCTAAGCACGTTTCTAAATAGCAAGAGTAGAAGCCACCTTAAAAAAGAAAAACTAGTTGACATGACCAGATTCCAAGTCATGACAACCCCTTGTGTGCATAGTAGAACTGCCCCACAGGGTTTTCATGGCTTTGAATGTTTGGAAGCAGATCACCAGGCTTGACTTCAGAGGTGCTTCTGGGTGGGTTTGGACCATCAACCTTTCAGTTAGTATCTGAATGTTTAACCTTTTGGACCACCCAGAGATTCCTGGAAAATAATTGGAAGTAATTCCTGGCAGTAGGAGTGGAATAGGGGAAGCAAAGGCAAGCATATTGCCAAAGGGGGCAAGGAGGCCACATCTTCTGACCTCCTCTAACCCCACAAGAGAAAGACAGAATCACCATCAGTAGCTCAAGGCCTATTCTGTGGGGCCAGACATGCTGCCTCCCTCCAGCCCTTTCAAAAACCCTGGCACCAACTGTTCCTCCAGCAGCACCCACCACCTCTCTGCTGGGTTAGAAAATTCACTGCAATGGCCACACAGAACTCACAGATTATGAGGTTTATGAGGGAAGCAATAGGCTACAATTCAAGTTCAGAAATGCACTGTCTTTTGGAGCTGGCCGTCTCACTTAGCAGCTGGCAGTCTCTCTCTCAGTAGTGTGTGCCTCTCGTCTCTGTCTCTCAGCAGTGTGTGTCTCTTGTGTCTCTTTCTCGGCAGTGCATCTCTCATGTCTCTCAGCAATGTGTTTCTCATGTCTCTCAGCAGTGTGTATCTCTCGTGTCTCAGCAGCATCTATCGTGTCTTTAAGCAGTGCATGTCTCTCACATCTCTCAGCAGTGTGTGTCTCTCTTGTTTCAGCAGCATGTGTCTCTCAGCAGTGTGTCTCTTGGGTATCTCAGCAATGTGTGTCCCTCGTCTCTCAGCAGTGTGTCACTCGCATCTCTCTCAGCAGTGTGTATCTCTTGCATCTCTCAGCAGTGCATGTCTCTCTCTCAGCAGTGCATGTCTCTCATGTCTCTCTCAGCAGCATGTCTCTTGCATCTCTCATCAGCGCATGTCTCTTGTGTCTGTTTCTCAGCAAGTGCGTGTCTCTCAGGAGTGTATTTCTCTTAGCAGCACATCTTTCTCAGCCAGCGGTCAGAGAAACTCCTTCTGCCTCTAGGAGGGCTCCTTTTGAGCCTGACAGAGTGGCCAAACTAACCATTCCCAACATCAGAATTCTATACACCTGAGAGAGAGAGAACTTTCCAGAAGATTGCTTAGTGCCACTCTTAACAGATATGCCCTAGGTGGATAACTTTAACAATCAGGAGTTACTCAGTTGCTTGTGGCAAATTCCACTACGGAGTTTACAAAGACTTATGGCTAAAAAAGCCACATTATATAATTTACTACACCACACATATATTACAATTAGATGAAAGGAAGCTATTGAGAGAGCTGGTTACTTGTCTGAAGCATGTTGGGAACAAAATAATGCATTCATTCTATCCTTCACTGTAACATCCATTTATTGAGAACTTACTATGAATCAGATGCTCTCCTGGGCACTTTTCATTATTATGGGGGTTACTCTAAAGTAATTGCATCTTGGGTTGCTCTCTCCAGCCACTCCCCCAGGGCATGCCACAATGCACATGAGTTATAAAAGGAGAGAAGAAGCAAGTTCACTTACCTGGCCTGCCAGGTTGAAGTAAGAATGATTGGTCAGATTGACTGGTGTAGTCTGATTAGCCTGCGCTCTATAGTTGACCATGAGTTCTCCGCCATCCAGCGTGTAAGTCACCCAGACTTTCAACTCTCCAGGGTAGCCTTCCTCACCATCTGGACTGATGCGTGAGAACTCAACGCCATTTGATAGCACCTGAGGGGTCCAAAGGACCTAGAAAAAAATGAATGATTTTAAAGCTGTTTGATAACTCCAACCTCAAGCTAAATGCCACATTTTAATATTTAAAGACAACTGATTCCAGGAAGGGAAGTGATTACATCAATCATTAGGGTTTTTGAATAACACCCTGGATTTTCAATGCTAAAAGTTTTTATTCAGAATTGCTTTTGAGAGGGAAAAAAAAAGTTTTTTTCTTTCCCTGCTCACATTCTCTACTTTTTCTTGCTAAATTTATATGCATGTGTGTACAATATTTTCCTCTTTCCCTTCTTTAATTTTTTTTTTCAGATACATTTTTATCTTGGAGCCCAATTCTGGTAAATATTATATAGCAGTATCTGCTAATACCCTCTCTCTCCTGGGGGTACTAGATGTGAATACTTATTCAAAAAATACTTTGAGTTTCTGCATGTTCCCTTGGCAGAGTTAAAAACAAATAAGAAGGCACTTGTTCCATTAGGAAGAGCTCTAGCCCAAAAGCCATGAGGCCTGATTTTGGGGCCAGGTTTGTCCTTTGCTCACTATGTGACTTTGGGCATCAATCCCTTTCATAGATACCCACTACTATCAGCCACTCCTTGGAAGGAATATGGGGCAATCTACTTCCGTAGTGATACTGCCTTGGAAACCCAAGGAGGGGTCGTTATGAGTCGGGTCCGACTCGACGGCAAACAACAACAACAACATCAGCGTAGTGCGTAAGGCATTTGACTGCTACCCAGAAGACTGGCAGTTCAAACCCATAAGCCACTCCTCGGAAGGAAGGTCGGGCCATCTACTTCCATAGCGATTCCACCTCAGAAACCCAAGGAGGGGTCACTATGAGTCGGGTCCAATTTGACAGCACATAACAACAACTATGAAGTCAATTCTAACTCATGGAGACTCCATTGGGTTTCCAAGGTAAATCTTTATGGAAGTAGATTGCCTCATCTTCCTTCCATGGAGCAGCTAGTGGGTTTGAGCCACTGACCTTCTGGTTAGCAGCCAAATGCCTTATCCACTATACCACCAGTGCTCCTTCTTCAAATAAAGGGGTTGAAAAAGTGATCTCAAAAGTTTCGTCTTGTTTTAGGAAATACGATTCTAAGAATAGGAAGAAAAATATGAAGACACGTTTCCTCAAAAAGGTTTGGCTTTAGGAAATAGCAATAGGAATCTTGGGTTAATGTAGTGGTTCCTCTCAAATTTGTCCCCGAGACTCCAGATTATCCTTATGGGGAAGGGAAAACCAACATTTACCAAGTGCCCATGACGAGCCAAGATTCTTTGCTAGAAACTTCACAGGCATTATCTCATCTGTCTCACAGCAGTCTTTAAGTATCATTATCTTCATTTGATTTATCTTCATAATTATCATTTATCTTCAATGATTAATAGGAGAACTGAAGCTCAGGAAGGATAACTCACTTGCCCCTGGTCACATGGCTAGTAAACGACAGCAAAACCAAAAAACCAAACTCACTGCCGTCAAGTTGATTTAACTCATAGTGATCCTTCCTTGGGTTTCCGAGGTGATATCTCTGCAGAAGTAGATTTCCCAATCTTCCTTCTGGGAAATGACAGCAGATTTGAAAAGAATGGTCTGATCTTGAACATATGCCTGCTCCCTTATTCTATACTATCAGACTTGGTCAGAAATTTCTATTCTTTGAAGGGGAATCTTGCTTCTTAGCTCAGTGGGAGTCTGTGTGTTAACCCTAATGACTCTCTCACTGGTCTCATTTCAGGCAGTGAGGGAAATAATTTTGGTAATGAACTTTCCTTTAAAGTTATATGCTAGAGCCAGAGAAGACAGGAACAAGTATGGCAGCTGGATGAGATCTCCACATTTGTAGAATTTTCACCAGGCACAGACCTAGTGCTTTATATAAATCACCTTGCAAGGTAAGGACTTGGTTGAACCAAATGAAATTGCCATTTTCTGCAGGTCAAAACAGTCAAACACTGGTAATTTAATATAGCTCTAAGTAATATTCTTAGCCCCATTTTACAGATGAGTAAATTGAGTTCAGTGAGGTTCACTAGTCTACTTCTATCTCCCATGTCTTGGAGAGTAGGGTAACATCTTTTCATACTTTATGTTTGAAAGGAAAAAACTATCTTGTTTAGTCATACATGAAAAAGTGACAGAGCTAGGATTCAAATTCAGGACTGGCTATCACACTAATGGTTTGGCTGTCTATACTAATTTACACCTTTGTTTCAGTGAATGTTTTAAAAGTGTCCATTTTCTTTTTTAAAATTTTTATTGTGATTTGGATGAAAGTTTACAGAGCACATTCATTTTCCATACAGCAGTTCATGCACACTTTGTTTCATGACACTGACTGTAATTCCCCACAATGTAACTAACAGCTCTCTTCCCACTTCCTCCCTATTATTACCTCTTCCCTGTGTCCTTCTTTCCTATATATTCCTATTCCCTGAGCTATCTGTTTGTGCAAACACTGCTCTTCTGTTCTCCCATGATTGATCATTCTAAGAAGCCTATCTATCTTATATAAATGCTCATCCTATATGCCTATCTAGTGCTTGGCTGGGAGCACGGGAGTGAGTTCAATTACAGAGAGTGTCCATTTTCAACAGGTGAGTTGAGCTCAAACTTTGTCATTCCAAATAGACTTGAAAGATAATAACGTGTCTGTGAGCCCAGGTGCTGCCCACCCACTCCAGGCAGGGCTTGGCTCTCTTACACTGATGTTGCATTTGCCAGGAGGGGAGCCCAGTGGGAATAGAGGCCTCTGTCCTCACCTATGGTGAAAGCAGCTGGTATTTGAAACAAGTCACTGACCTTAGGGAAATTAATTTAACACCTAATTAACTCCCAGAAATGTTGAACTTTCCAGCCACTTAAACATGCAGCCTGTTATATGTGTAATGAAACAAAGAAAAATATAACTTCCCAAATGGGACATTTTAAGAATCAGGAATTTTTCAATTTTTTTTTAACTTTTATTGTGGTGAAAACATATACAACAAGACACTCACCAACACGACACCTTCGGATTTTTGGAATATTTGAAATAAAATGTTCATAAGTTGCTACCTAGATTTCCATCTTTAGCAAAAGGACAAAATGGAAAGATTTTTGTGATGTGTATCATCAGATAAGTATATTTCCTATTTACAGAAGGATTTTCCTGTCTCTGATGTTTACAAATTTCCAGAAATTTTGCATCTCTAGGCCTACTTGAAAGGAGCTCAGGTAGTACAGTGGCTAAGGCATTTGGCTAATAACCAAAAGGTCAGCAGTTCAAACCCAGCATTTGCTCCATAGAAGAAAGACGAGGCAGCCTCGTTCTGTAAAGATTTATAGCCTTGGAAACAGAATGGGGTCAATAAGAGTTGGAATTGACTCAATGCCAGTGAGTTTGTTTTTTGTGCTTTTTTTGAGGCCCACCTGAAGAAGCTTTGATGGTGCAGTGGTTAAGGCACTTGGCTGCTAACCAAAACGTTGGCAGTTTGAACCCACCAGCCACTCTGCAGAAGAAAGATGAGGTAGTCTGCTTCCATAAAGATTTACAGCCTTGAAAACCCTATGGGGACAGTTCCACTCTGTCCTATAGGGTCGCTTTGAGTAGGAATCCATTTGATGGCAATGGGATTGGGTTTTGGTAGGCCTACTTATACCATTTCTAATCCTGCCAAGCTATTCAAATTCCATCTTTTTTAAAAATTATGTTGATATAAATGAAAAACCCATACCTCCAAAGCAATAATTATAAAGTAAAAGTCTAATATCCCTTCTAACATATGAACATTAATCAAATAAACTTCTATCAGCAAACTCAAGGACTAAAGATGGCAAACAGGTCTGTGTTGAAAGCAAACACAACTTAAAAACAAAGTTCATCTGATAGTGCTCATGTTACTATGCTCAAAAAATAATAACATTCCATAACAGCATCCAAAGTCTTTTCCTATCTCTGCCTGGTCCATTGCACAGCTATTCTCTCTAATATCCACATATTAAATGAAATGCTATCCTTTTTTCAAGGGTAGTTCAAATTTCACCTTCCCAGCTGCAATTAATCCACCCATACCCAATTCTCTCAACACTGTTGGCATCTATAGTATGGGGCTTGTTGCAGCCTGCCTCTGACAGTTATTATGTAAGGGTCTGCCTCCTTCACTATTTTGTGAGCTTCAGGAGGACAGAGACCATTCTGTGCCTCATTCAATTTGGAATCCCCAGTCCTACTATGCTTCCTGGTTCACTGAGGGGCTCAGGAGGAGTACCAAATTGAAGGACATACATATTCACTATTTTGCTATGTTTATAGATGGCATATATAATAAGAAACACCATAGAAGACAACACAGTGGAGTAGAGGGATCAGGAACATGTCCTGAGGCTCCTTTGAAAATCATTGTCTAAAACAGTTGAGTCTTACTTCCTGTGGTTGGGGTTTGCCCACGGACCTGGCATATTCTAGAAACCCTCTGTCCTAACACTGGAAGGACAGGAATTACTCTTTGCCTGTATGGTCTTCATGGCGTGAAGAGTCAAGAGAAAAGGAGAACTGATAAGACAGTCTGGTCCTAGGCTACAGACAAGAAGCTGGTGAGATAGGGGAAACACAGTGACCAACTTCCTTCAAGAGGACAAGTACAGGCAGAGACAGAAAAGAAGAAATTGTGGTCCCTAGCTGCCATACACGTTTCTGCTTTCTCTGTCTCTCCTCTAGGACACAGCCTGGGTGGTACAATTTAAAGGAAAGTTAACTACTAAAATAATCTCCCTTACAGCCTTAATCATGGAAAAGAGGAAGCTTTCGAGACCTTCATTTGCTGATGTGGCACCACTCAAATT